CTGACGCTCAGCATTCACGCAAAGACGTTCAGTGCATTCCTCCGTACTCTCATTCCGACGACGTCTTGGTTGACGCTCACATTCGCTAGTAACCGTTCAGTACGGTACTCACTGCTTTCGTTCTGGCGACGTCTTTGTTGACGCTCAGCATTCGCTGATAACCGTTTAGCACAATTCACACTGCTTTCTTTCTGGCAACGTCTCCGTTGCGCTGCGCGCCAGCAAAACGACTTTCAGCAGTCTCGGTAACACTCTCAGATTCACGTGACTCGCGATGACGTTGCGAATCCTCTTCGTTTCTAATGGAACGATGCTCAGCGTCTTCATGCTGCCGCGTGAGCTGTTGACGTGCTGCGTCTGCATCTCGCCGCAAAGCAGGTTGCGATTCTCCTCCAGCAGTGCGGTAATTCCTTTGACGGTCAGCATTCGACGCATAAATGTGTGGACGTCCACACGTCTGCGGCTTTCTGGTTGCTGGTTAAGCTCCATTTCACTGTTTCTAATCTGAATCATAAAATTTTAACCGCAACGATTCTGTCTGCCAATATCGTACAGTTTGTTTCAATAGCAGTTTCCCTTTCCGTCACACGCCATCCGCGCTATGCTTAGCTAGCGGATCGCATGTGATAGTTAATGCTACCAAAATGCTACAGAATTTAGCTATTTTATTGCCTTTCTATTGATTGTAACTTTTGTAATTCCCAGGCTTCTTCAATGGGATTTTCCCGACATGTTTGATTGAAATACTGTAAAATACTGAAACCAATTAATACTCATCAAACGCAGTTGGTTGATATTGTCCGGTCTTTACTAGCCTACAGTTATTCATAAAGAATCAAGATTAAAGTGATAACAAGGACCAATTATTTGAGGACCAGTTATTTGGCATACGAAGAAAAAAGAGCTAACGACAAATACACTTATATTTTGCAGTGCTAAAGAGCAAAACAGGTACAACTCAGAAATTACAGCAGGAGTTTTAGTTTGAAGATGGAGCTAAAAAGGAACAATCCGTATCACGAGATCAAGAAAATGCGTCTTGAATGTCGTCGCTACGCAAGTGATAATGCCCGGCTAGAGCATACCATATTCAAGAATGGTCAGATGCGGCAGATCTCAAAGCCTTCAAGCCTAGTTTGATTTTGGCCAGTCTGCAGAGAGGAGGCGAAAAGAAAGCGGTCACGTATTATTTTGAGACTTTAGTCTCGAAGAGCAAAATAGAATTCTGTCTTGACATTAAGCCAAAAGTTAGGAATGTGTTCCCCTAATTATAGCCAAACTGATAAACCTTAGTACCTTTTAAATGGCTAATCTACAGTATAGTAGCACGCGTTTGTAGCAGAGCCGCTTGGCTTACTCCGGAAGTTTAGATTGCGCGAGACATTTAAAGAACCTACGGAGCAATCCCGATGAATCAAATGAATTGAATGGCTATATTTGAACTTATGGTACTTGATTCTGAAATTTGTTTTCATAATTCACCATCGCACAGTTGTCATCGTTGCTACCGCTGTTTAATACTGCTCTTGCAATCGTTGATCGCTTCTACTGTTGTTGCCGCTGCCTGTTGAATTTTCAGAGCTGCACGGATTTTTAGAACTTCACCGTAATAACCTTAACAGCAATAACAACCGATTCAACGCTCATAGCAGCGGTAACAGCGCTAAAAGAGGACGATAGCCTTTAATCGTCAAGAATAAGTGGCACAGTCTACGTTTCAATCCGCTGTAGGCCGAAATCATATGATGAGCATTTGCGTCGCAAGTAGCTTTTGTCGGGACGATAGTTGCATCTCACTGTTCTAGGCACGTCGCCTCGTTTCCTTTGCTGATTTTTCAACCTTTTTCAAGAGGCGCACAGCTCCACATTAGATGCCTTGGCCGCACCGAATTGTGAGTGACTATGCCTATAGCAAATGTGTGCAGAACCTACCGCTTCAAATAAATCGATCCAAATGAATCATTGCTCTCAACACTTCACAGTCTCGATCCAAGTTTATAGCTATATGCACATAGATAATTCGGTTCTAACGTTTCCACACTCATTTGTTTCCTCGTTAGCTTACTCAAAAAAGATAAATTGCTTACGAACAGGCCATAAGGCCAGTGGCAACATTCTCTAGCAGATTTATGAGCTTTCCATAATGTTCGCCTATACAAAAACAGAAGCAATTTCTTCTATGCTTAATCATCGCATTGTTAAAATGCAAAAGTCAACTATCACAAAATTTCAATCACCATAATAGATATTCTCTCGCCCTTCGTTAACATATGCATATATCTACCGTGGCCGCTTATGGTATGTTTTGTAACTAAGTAAAGTGAATTTGTGCCGTTTTGCCTAATCTGGCACGTGTTCCTGCCTTGCGTTCATGATAATTATAAACATCATCTATTATTATTATCATTGATGGAGTGTGCACTCCTGCAAGAGACGCAGCAACCGGACAACAATAAGGATATGAGCAACGCCGCGGTGAGCAAGAACAAGTACAACTTTATATGCAGCATGATTTGACCTAGAACAAATTGTTACATCCCTACTAGTTTCACAGGATAGAAGTAGGGAATGGATTTATCGAGTTCATCTGCACTGCATCAGGTCCACCCTATAATCGACCTTACCATACCACGATAATAAAGTGCTATATCCGGGTAACATTGAGTCACTTCAGTGATTCGCAGAACCCTGTTCTGGCCATTATGAAGAATATCAGCTTTGACAATTACCTGCCAATTATGTCATCGTAAATCAAAAAACTTTTGTTAATTACTCATGGAACTCGCAAGACTTGTTTTTCAATCTTTAGCTTTACTTACTGGAGCATGAAATACTGTGCCACACTAGGATTTGTTGGACCATCGCTTCTTGTTGCTCTTTTTTAGGAAATTATAACCACATTTTAATCCATGATGATTTGCAGCAATCCACACGAAAAAACTGTTTTGTTTGTAAACTGTATGTACATTAGCGTGTAAATTAGCCAAGAAACTTCCCTTATCCCGATTCCATCACTTGCTTATGAATCATTCTTTGTAATAAAAACAGAGAATACTCAAATTCAGCTGAATAAATCTTTATTGTTATGATAAAAGCTTATCAACACGGACAGGAAAGAGTTATTTTAGTCATAACAGAACAGCACAATCATACATGCGACAGAAGCACAACTTTGTGATATTGTCGAATAGAGGTCGAGACTTACCCTAAAAATATGCTTTGGTTCCAAAAAAAAACCAGCAAAGAACCTGCTGCACTGTGTTCAAATGGTACTTATGCTTATCCATATCATTTGCTTGTGTGTGCCACGTGTTAAGCAGAAGAGTTAGAAGTCTGATTGAGTTAACTTGTCTAGTCTAGTCAAGCCTCAATGTTATTCCAGCTCAAGATCATCAACTCGTTGGGATGCTGAATGTTCGTTGGTGCAGGGCTGGTGTTGCTTAAAACGGCGATTCTTTAAAATATTAACCCTCCTGTAGGCAGCTAGCTTTTTATGCAGAAAGCAGCGATGTTGCTCTCATCGCAGACAGTTCGTTGTGGAAGAGAAGACAGAGAAAAGCGGCGAGAGTGAGCGAGAAGGGGGAGTCAAGAGCGCCCCGCTCAGACAGTCGACGGCATACCTCCTGAGCAGAAATGGCAGAGCCGCGGGGTTTGCCCAGCGGGGGTTTGCTACTCGTGTCCCGGAGCCCTCCCATTTTGTGCTCCGCGGCTCGCCCAAATCTGGCGTACCCGCGGAGCAGAGATTTGCAAGCCCGCCGAAGGGGTCCCATCTGCCTTCTTGTGACGTCACCGTGACGTCACAGAAAGGGACCGCCCCCACGCCCCGCTCTCAATGGTCAATTGGGTCATCCGCAGCTCTGCCAGATTTCGACTGTCCTCCGAGCTACGGCAGCGATTGTCTGAGTGCGCGGACTGCCTTTACCACTTTGAAGTTTAGGTGAGAATTAGCTTATATATGCAGCAAGGAACGTAGACTATATACACAAATCCACTAAGTTATGATGTTATTGCATGTTATTGTAGTTACGGTTCTCAAATGTCGAGTGAGTCTTTTTTGGAGTTCGCCGTCTCGTTATTCTATTTCAAACAGAAGTCTGCGCTCGAACGTTATTGTCCGATAATCTATGAAACAACTCTATCGAGTATTGCTTTTTGTATACTTCGCGTGATCTGCGCTTACAAAGTCCTGGAGAGACTTGCGCACAAAAATGTATAGTGGTGAATTATCAAATACTGCAATTTGTGGTAAGATTTGCTTTCGAAGCTAAGCGCAATGTTTTTAGGAGTCAGAATTCATGCATTCCGAAAGAAGTTATGGCGATGTTTTAAAAATTTCGCGGAGTTCCCGGATGCCACGGAATTGCACATGTTCGTGAATACTCGGATTTCGAAAATTTGGTCACTCTGTGATCAGTATGTTACCCTGCATGTGATAGTATAGAACCGGCTGTAATTATATAACTCTTGGTCCATTTAAGAAGAAATTAAGAGCCACTAGCTGGCATTATCATGGCTACAGATGTGCTGAAGTCAAACTAGACTTCGTTGCTGGGGCAAACAAAAGGGATATTGTAAAATACGTTGGAAATACATACACTGCCTCCAATATTTTCACCATCAAGTTGGTGCATGACAAACACACTTTACCGTGTTCTTCCTTACAAGCACGCGAATTTGAAAATGATACCGAAAAACAGATGCTTGCAACGCACAGGTTATCATACGAAACAGATTTGTTTCATATGTATACGATGTGACTCCAAAATATGTTAGGTAGAAAATCCGGGAAATTATGTGCTGTAATATTTGTTTTTTGATGATTTCTTAGACCCGTTCCAGAGCAAGTGGATTGATTTGGAGCATAAATATCAACAGTTCAACAAGTTTTGAACATGTCTCTGGACTATTTGAGCGCCTCGAAAATCCTGGCGAAGACAGCGAACCAGAATTGCCCTTTTATTTTTTGAGGCCATGAATAGATTCAATTAAAGTTTTGGTAATTATCGCGCTCCATCTTGCAACTGAACAAGTAGGGATGCTAAGAGTGAGGTAAGACTTCTAGTCTCTCTTTCTATATAGGTTGCTATAAATGTTTTGTTGTTCTTAACATACTAGAGTAGCACTTTGTGCATACTTTTGCTGATGTTGATGCTTCTTTTTCCATTGAACCAGTTTTGAAACAAAAGATTATGTCCTTGTCATGTCTTGTCAAACTTTATGGACCACATCCCATCTCATAACACTTTAAGAACAACTTTGAAATAATCGAGCAAAGTCATGGGCACTTTGTTGCCATATATGCGCGAAACCAACGCGTGCTGAGCCCTGTCAATGCTACAATATGATAGATATTTCTATGCCTCCGTTCCATTACAACAATTCTCTGTTCTGGTGCCACCCCTACATGCCAGTACCCTGCTGTCACTATGTAATCCCGACTAGCATGCTCACCCCCTTCTGGCTCCTTCCAGCCCCATAGTCGAAGTTTGCAGAAAATCGATTAGAATCGATGTAATCGATATCGATCGATGGGTATGAATAGCTACGACACCCGTCCGTCCCCGAAGTGTATGTGTGCAAAGTTTGGTCAGCAATTGCTCCTCAAAATAAGTTTTTCAAAGGTTTTATCAACAAATTGCGTGGAAACGCCGCGATTGGCTGCTTGAATCAAACAGCCAATTGCCGGCAAAATGGGTGGAATTACAGTATCCTGTAGCCACTCGCTGTTTTTGGCGGAGTTCCCTCGCTTAGCCTCCTCAGCGATCTCCAAGGACGGAAAACACCGAAAAAGCATTTTTTGATTTCCTAAGCACAGTCTCGGACTCAGCGGATCCAGAAGGCCATGTACAGTGCTTATCAAATGAAATGTCACTTGCCCCAGCATCTCCACTGTCGCGCTGGATACTGCGTCTCTTCCGCGGAACATGCTCTCTGAGTACTTTTGAAGGGCGAGCGTCGGAAAGGCGGAGCCTCAATTGATTGGAAGTGATTAGAGAGCATGTTCGCGGAAGAAACGCAGAGTCCAGCGCGGGAGTGGAGATGCTGATGCAAGCGACATTGCGTTTGATAAGCCCTGTAGGTGCGAAAAATTTGCACTCGCAATTTTCCCGAGCCACTGCCTCTAAAACACTCCCAAAATAGTGTTTACTATAATGCGCAACGCTCTACATTTTCCTTTTGCGTTCTTATTTTGGTTTTTGAATTGCGTGGTTGCAGTGCACACTTTTTTAACAATTGTGAGGTCACACGCTCTCAATAAATAGGGCACCCCAAAAGGTTTCGGAATGGCTTGGTACCTTTAAACAAAATCCTTCCCTTTTCCTGCGGCCGAACAAAAGACTGTCTGTCATCGCTACCGCCTCAAATACAGTCACTTTGCATAGGATAACCCAAAGCGAAAATATTTCAACTTCTTCTACGTTTTCTCTTAAGATCCACAGATATAATTGTTTTATTCAAAAAATCAATAATTGCACATTCATACGCATAGATAATATGCAAACATTTGTGTCAATGCTGATTATGTCGAACAAGAAAACCGTCCTCTTGTCGAATTCCATTGTCCACTCTTCTGCCAATGGACTCGCCAATTGTGGCATCAACAACTTCGTCTTCAATACCATCACGGAAGAAGTACGACTTTAATGCAAATGGGTTTTGCGGGAATGAATTGTGGATAACAACGGTGACCTGAAAAGGTGAGATTGATTAGAAAAATGACGTAATCATAAGCAGAGCTTCTTACAAAAAAATACAAATCTGGCGAGAATGGAGGCAGGATATTGCTGTTGATTTACTGAAGGTTTTCAGTGCAGTATTAGGTGTCAAAGCATGAAAAAATCCTATCGGCTTGGAACTCTACGCACTCGTCCATAGTTTTGTCTTGAAAATTAAAAAAGTAGAAAAAATTTGTGGTCAAGAAATTATTACGCACATAGAATACGCGGCGGTTTTGGACATTAATTTCCTACACGAAATAAACTATTGATGAAAAAACTGGGTATTTTATGCCCATAGACAAGAACTGTTTATTCAAAATTTTGAAAAAAAGTTTGTATAGGTCACAGATACCAAGCGAATTCTCAGAGGTAGTAGAGAATGGTCAAAAAAACTGTGTTTGTCGTGAAAACATTCTGCATGTCACTTTGCTAATCATATAAGTCGCTAAATCACAAACGTATATAAACAAAGGGTAAAGAATTGAAGCGGGACTATTTCCATAACTTACATGCTGATAGTCGGGACACTGCTGTGCTGTGGCGTCCAAACAACAGAAGTAGTCGACTTGATTGTTATAACAACAAACCGTTGAAGCGTTTGGCTAAAATTGAAATTTAAGGTATTGTGATCGTTCAATATTGGGAATCAGTAGATGTTGGAAGTTTCTCAAAACACATTCTATACTATGCACATCAATGAGCGTCAAATTCAGAGAAAAATTCTAAGCTAGCTTTGATTTTTGGTTGAACGTAAGTAGCGACATCTCATAAAATCCATGCGTGGTTGAAGAGTTGAAATTCAAGCGAAATTTTCACATACTAGAGTTTCAAAGAAAATTGATTGGTTCGCTAAGAGAAAGACGGTATTGTGCAAATACTTAGAGTTGAACTCTTAAGCCTTAAGATATTCATCTGATAACGAGCTGCAGTTTGACCAACCGCCTATTCACACTGCCTTGTATTAGAACCAGTGCTTCACCCTACTTCGCAGAGGCTTGCACTGGTCATCATGGAAAGTGTTAGAGTAAACATACGCTTTAATATCTTGTTTCTCACATCATTCCAAAGCTGCCTAAAGCGAAGGACCCCTAGTTGGAATTGAACCACCCTCGCTATCAGATATCACATGCTCGAAGTATTGTATATCATCCTCACTGTAATTTCGTTACAAACTCCATACAGCTTCGGATTGACGGCTTATCATGAGTAATTATCATTCCTTACTGTAATTTCGTAACGGACAAACTTGACACAGCTTTAGATTAAGCTGCTCAATAGAAGTCATGATAGGCTTTCAACCACAATTTTAGTGCGGACCAACTGTAAAAATCACAAAGAGTTTGGAGTTTTATAAAACAGAGGCTATAAAATGTCTGCAAAAACTGAGATGTTCAAACTAACCCTGTCCGGCAGTGCGTTGACGCAAAGCCTGTTTTGATGGGGCAGACATTTTCTTGGCTCCCCGTCAGGTCGAAGAAGTGGGCGAGCCCCGTTGGGGCAAGGCGCAATCATCCTTGGGGCATCAAATGCCTTTGAATGTGCTAGCACTGGTACTAAAACGATAGGAATTCTAAGGATAGAGCAGTTTATTGAGCTGGTGCAAATTAATATCTGTAACCTCTGCTGAAAAGACATTTAAATGTAGTGAATGTATGTATACGAGTGAGACACCATTCGATAGAATAAAAGCTCTACGAAGAGACTATCAAAGGTTTACCAAAATCGCTATCCACACAAGCTTTCAATCCAAAATGTGTGAGTATTTTTCCAGGTCAAAACTCGCATCTTCATCCAGAGAAATCCTACGAGCTTTCAGTTGGCCAGTGCATGGTAAACACACAAACACTCATATATGCATTTGCTGTAATTTTTTCCCGTTTAGAATCTGAGGAAAAATGATAACCGAATATGGAAAAGCGCTGCCCCTAATTCTCTCCACCCCCCCCCCCCTCCTTCCTTATATTTATGTATTGTGGATCAAAAAGTTTCTGAAGCATTACATACTTTGATATTTCAGCTTGGTATCTGCCTTGGTTCTTCACAGTAAATTTTCAGATTATGAACACGTAGGCTATGGACATTATTTTTGCACCAACATGTTTATTCTGATCTATTATTGGTGACACTGTCGCAAAGTTTCGTTTTGGGCAAAAAGTAAATTACTAGGTCGTCCCGAAAGTTCTTTCGCACCATTTTCAAAAATCCATAACTTCTGATTTTTCCAACATATTTGACTGCTTTTATTTTTATATGAAAGAGTAAGTCATGCTCTTTATAATGACATCTTAAATGCTTACTAATGATCATCTGTTGCATAGATAGGAGCGGTAGAAGAAAATTAGTCAAAATTCGAGATTTCTGTGTAGGGTCATAAAAAATCGGAAACATGCAACAAAAATCAAAGCAGTCGGTATTGTAGGTTGTTTCACCAGCTCTTTTTAACAGTGCAAAGTTTGCATCTGTTTCCCTGAAAAATGCCAAAATAAATCAAATTCGCCCTTTTGTATGCTTGCTCGAAAATCGCAACTTTTCATAGAGACACTCAATCGGCGCAAATTCTGCACTGTCAAAAAGAGCTGGTAATTGAACCTACAATACTGACTGCTCCGATTTTTGTTGCATGTTCCCGATTTTTTATGACCCTACACAGAAAATTCGAAATTTGACTAATTTTCTTCTACCGCTCCTATCTATGCAACGTATGATCACTAGCAAGCAGCTAAGAAGTCATTGTAAAGAGCATGACTTACGCTTTCATACAAAAATAAGAGCAGTCAAATAGGTTGGAAAAACCAGAAGTTATGAATTTTTGAAAATGGTGCGAAAGAACTTTCGGGACGACCTAATATTATAAATTATAGACTACTGAAAGAAATTCCTTTGGCCCAGTCATCTCATGTAACCAGTTGGCAAGTATCACTAAATGTAACAAAATTATCGCAGCGTAAACAATTGACTACGATTAATCACTTAAGTTCGTCACGAGATTTATGAATAAAATATAAACAGATAAAACTTACATAAAGCAAATAATAGCGCAGAGTACATGTCAGCAAAACCGGGATGAATTAAGGAGAAACGAAAGTGGGGCAGCGGGTTGAACGCGAAAGCGAAATTGCTGCGATCGTCAACTTGAGAAATGCATGATCACTAAGCACTCTTGAAAAAGTGGGAGAGAGGTCGGTTGTTTTACAGCGTTTGAATGAACTATTATATAATTTAGGAAGTTTGTTAAAGTTTACAAATTACCGAAAGTAATAATGTCTACGCTCAGCTGAAGTGAAATCTTTATAGAACACACTTATCTCTTTTGGTGTCATCAAATTGCAGCGCTAAGTGATATATAGGTGCATTCAAGAGAAACGATAAAAGTCATGCTGAAGGTATCCACGGAACTTCCACCCCTTCAAACGGTGAATTTCCTCGATTTAATCGATGCTGGAAGAGTGAGCAGTGAGACAAATGTAATTTTGGAGAATTTGCTTTGAGGAATAGCCTTGACTTTCTTTATAGAATGCATCAAGAAAATGGCAATTTTGTATGTTTCCTCAAATAGATTGATTCTGATAAGGTAGCTTGCCCGGCAATGAAAGTTTTGATAAAATGCACTTGTTCTTTCCCATTTTTCAGTGAGCCTTTAAAGCAAAAACTGTGTGTCTTTTCGGAGCTCCTAAGATATCCTAAACTTGGAAATTACACAGCGTCTGAATAGAAAACCTCCTGACTCTGCTTTAAAAATTCAGGTGAGGTACCTTAACCAGGTTACTGATGGTTCACATCAGTAACCTGGTTAAAGTTACTATACCTTAAAAATCGAAAGATTTATCTGCTGAACCAATATCGAATAAACTCGAAAACTAGAAATATTGAACAAACAACTATCCACTGAATTCGTGATTTGAAAATCTTGAATTGACGAGTACCGAATAATTGTCGAAAATCAAGTATTTGAATGAACAAACATCAATTATATTCGAACCTTAAGGATCGAATTATAAATTTCGAATGATTATTTGAAAGGCTAGACATTCGGATAAATCATCCAAATGTATAAAAATTCGAATTATTTGTTCGAATATCTAAAACAAATTTCTAAACTTGTGCCGTGCCCCATAACTCAATGTGGCCCTGCATCGAGCATACTTTGAATATTAGAATAAAAGGATGATTTCCGTTCGAATTCTCATTTTTAATAAGTCAAGTTTTCAAATGTTATTCGAAAACCCCTTCCTTGATTATTCATGCTTTCGAATTTTTTGTGAAATCCCGTTTTTTTTATTATGCGAGTTTTCAAATGTTGTCCGAAAATGGATTACTCCGCATTTCGAATTTCGATTACATTCAAATGTTATATTCAAGTTATCGGATTTTAGGACCGAAGGATGATTCGTACAAAACAAGTGCACCACTCTAGTTCTCTGTCGCCTTTGTGAAATTCGCATTGTATTGTCTTGAAACCACACTTATGATCATCAAAAATAAAAGCTCTTTATACGTCTACGAGAAAAAGCTCTCCGTAATCCTTGCGAACTCATATAGGCAACCATATAACAGAAAAAAGAATAGATTCGTAGAAATTTGATTAGAAATCTTACCTTGACCTTGGGATGCTTCATTCCTCAAACCTTGCATTTCGACGTTCGTGCTTCACCAAGGTAGAATAGTATCGATTTACCTGTGAGCAACATCTCCGTTTTACCAACCATCCCGCGTCGACGTTGCCATAAGACTCCTAATAGCAGAAAGTCTACATATTAAGTGCTGCTAGCTTTTATCTTTTCCCGTGCTATCGTATTAGGTTGTCTCATAAGTTTTTCAATTTTGATTTCTTACCGCAATAAGTCACACATTCTCAATTCTGAATAGATTGCAGGGTACCGTTCGATAGAGCAAAGCAAGCTCAATAAGATGACGTGTAAGAGTTCGCACTAGCTTTAGAGTATCGCGAATATAAGCAAAATCCGGGAACTCCCGGGTGCCCAAAAAATTAGAAAATTTTCGTATCTTTGCCCAATGAAGACTTAACAGATTCCAAACTTACTCAAGCATATATACTCTAAAGACATTCATATGTGTCGTTGTTTTGTTTGTTACTATGCTAAAAACCGACAAAACTGAAATTTTCAGGTCTTCAAAGAAGCGAAGCTGCATTTTCCTCACATTGATAAATGTTTAACACAAGTCTTTGAAATACAGTTACAGATTTTCAGCTTTCTATAAGCTTTGGTTCTCGAGAAATTGATTTTGACTCAAATATCCCAACAAAAAGAGCTAAATTTGGTATTTCTCAAAAACTAACGCTTCCAGGAATGTGAAATTTTGCCGGTGTATTTCTAAAAGTTTGTAGTATGCATTTACCTATGTAAGAACAGCGCAGCATCGCTTTCTTAGAACCTTGAGAATTTTAGTTCTCTCGGTTTCTAGCAATTGGCACATATGAATGTCTATGGAGTGTAAATGCGTGAGCACGTTTGGGTCAGGTTTTCTATGTACAGAGATATAAGAAACTTTCCGTTTTTCGGGAATCCGAAAGTTTTCATATTAGGATTCTAACTCGTGATGTGCTGAGGCTGATGCATACACTTACACGCTATCTCAGCTTGCTTTGCTTTGTCGAACGATACCCTGCCTTCTAATTAGAATTGAGAAATGTGTGACTCAATGCGTGAAAAAGATCAAAATTGAAAAAAGTTGTGAGACGACCTAATATATACACCTCACATATCTGTCACAGTGGAGTTTTTCAAGGAGTTAATCTTTCTCCACTACTTTTTCAGTTGTACACCGCCGAGCTTCCGTTCATCTTACATCTGCCCATCTTAATCCAGATGTATGCAGACCATGTAAAGATATGATGGATCTGCTAACCAGCACGAAAATCAATACACTGAAGAGATCGTTGGAGTGGATGGTATGCTGGGCTTTGAGCTTTAGTACTCCATTGAACTCACAAAGGAGTCCATTTAGTCCGAGTGGCCTTTATGAATCCTATAGTGTGACCTTGAACGTCCTTTCAAATTGTTTTCAATACCAGCCAAGCACCTCTGAACGCCCAGTTATGAGTGAAAATCAACGCAGAATTTAGGCAAAATCAACCGTTACTGTCTTTCAGAGCTCAAGTGAATAGAGTTGAGTATGAGTGTATTAGACAGAAATCACCTATTAATTGAAGTGCTCTGATTATTAACACTGGAACATTTGAGCAATCCTAGACGAGTTCTGTTTGAGTTACGCATTCAGTTTCTCGACCACAAAAACGCTCATAATCGGCTTCCAGAAGCATTTGGCAGATAATGAATACAGGTACGAAACCATCTTCCATCGCTCTTCGACTGGTATTTACATAAAAAGCTCATTTCGGATGAAAACTGACCTCCTTGGGAAATGTCCTGTTATGTATTTTAGGCCCCGGACAGACTTCACGCAATTTGATCGTCGCGACTCAATCGCCGACATTTCCATTCATTTTCATTTCACATTCAAAAATTTCGGGCTGGGAAAGTATCACAACCGAAATGCAAGTTGATCGGCATGGAATGATGTTGTAACAGTTGTCTCGTCGCGATTCAGTCGCGACGATTAAATCGCGTGAAGTCTGTCCGGGGCCTTAGACGAAAAACGATCTGGTTATGAGATTAACGTTTTCCTTCTGATGAATGGTTGCATTGCCTTGGGCGTTCTACTCTGAGGTTGAAGTTTCTAAACCATATCTACGCCGTGAAGCAGACTTATCCTTATTCGCCATACTTTCTTTTGTTCATACAGATAAATCAGTGCTTCTAACACGATTCTATAAAGCGTATGTGCTACTATATCCTGATTACTATCCTCTGATTTGAAATCACTTTTTCAAAAAAGAATGTCTCAAAATTAGAAAAGTTTCAGCAAACATTTACTTGCATTTTTGAAATGTCGTAAATAGTTGCTTTCACTGAAATGGCAGTATGCAGGTTCTCAAGTCTTTGACAACAAAACTGTAGCATCCAGGCGCCCGGCTTAGGTTTTTTGTCACACCATTAGTCTTGAATCAAATTCATGGGATGTACAAATCACCATATCTCGTGTATCGGTTCTAAGATGCGTAGTTCGTTCCTCAACAGTTTCTCGACAGTCACCTATTCACTGTTGTGTATTAGCTCTTCTATTAGGTCGTTTCAAAAGTAATTTCGCTTTTTTCAAACGGGCACCACATTTGACGGAACAAAGGTTTTTGAGAGATCTTGGAGGCGTTCGATGCAGAATTTCATTCTCTTTCTAACGGTTATGAAACTGTTGCAAAACAGTCAAAGAGTTTCCAGAAAATAACCAAAATCTGCGACCCATGCTTTTTGAGATGGTCAAGTTTCACAATTTTTCAAAACTTTCACATCAATCCTTAGAAGAAGTTTATGTAATGTTTCGATAGAATAAACCTTATAGAAACAGTACTACTTTTTTCTCTTTCTCGTAGCTCGCCGTAATTTAATAAAAGATTTTTCAACTGAACCATCGGATTCTGGTAGGCTCACTTCAGTCACAATCGCATCAAACATCATAATCTTTCGGAATTTGAGACTACCGAGATGGTACTATGAATTAGCACTAATTTTACAAAGCAAGTGAGGGTTTACGGGTTCGAAATATCAAATCTCGAGTTTTTCAGGTAAAGCCTGGGGCTCCTTTAAAAAATGAATTGTGATGATTTTATCCCCGAAAACTGAACGAATCGGAAACAAAAGACACCCGTTATAAAGAGGAGAAAATGCTGCATCGAATAGTGCCCAAGTTGTTCTCCCTTTGATGTTTTATGAGGATTTAGCTGCCCAGGTATGGAAATCGGTAGCATCAATTAAAATTCTGTTAAAAATGTATGACAAGTTATGGAAAGGAGAAAAAAGTAGTACTGTATTTTATAGAGGTTACTCTATCGAAATGTCACTTGAACTCCTTCTGAGGATTGATATGAAAGTTTTGAAAAAACGTGAAACTTGACCATCTCAAAAAGCATGTGTCGCAGAATTTGGTTATTTTCTGAAAGGTCAATGACTGTTGTGCAACAGTTTCATAACCATTAGAAAGAGAATGGAATTCTGCATCGAACGCTTTCAAGATCTCTTGAAAACCTTTGTTCCGTCAAATGTGGTGTCCGTTTGAAAAAAGCGAAATTACTTTTGAAACGACCTAATATATCCTATTACCTAGCTACTCTTATTCACTGTATTTGTACATCAGCTTCTTCTTGTGGCTTGTCATATTACTGATAAACCATTCTATTTTTACCAGTCGTTCTGCTAAGTCAGTGGAACCTGCGGTCTAGACCGCCCTACCGCCACTAAACACTTCAAATTAGGAGTTACAGAGCAGTGAAGAAGAAAGGGAAAAGCAGTTTTTGAGCAAAGAGAAATAAAGGAGAGCAAACGTGTGTAACGATTCCAAATTAAACTCCTGGATCAGGAAAATCAATAAAATGGACACATGTCTCTTTGAAGGTAAGTTCGCTTAATCTTCTCAGGTATCTTCTTCATGAAACGTGGCGCACGGTTGCATGCACTTGAATTGATTCACCCATACAGTTAACAAAGCATTATAACAGTCAACATACATTCCGATTCTGGCTCGCAGTAAAGCTGCTTCATTCGATCTCAACTGAATAAAATCTCAGTTGAGGCTTTGACGAGTCGGCTTGCCTTCAGTCGAGCCATTGATTGATATTGCCAACCACCCACGATGATAAGATTGAGAGCGCCACGTCCATGCAAGTATACGAGTCAAGACGAGTTTGCCAAACATTCACATCTACGTCATTGGCACTAGCGGCGGGGATGTGGCCGCACTTGTTAGATCTTGTCAGTTATCGTCAGCATCACTGTGGCTCCTCACCGACATGTTAAACTAACGTGTATCGTAAGTTACTCAGGAGTAACTTACGAGAAGTCTCTCTGCGTATCATCATTGACACACTATTTCAATCAATTGGTAGTCTAACTGAATGTGGATTGACTGAAGTAAGGTAGACTACCTCGTCAGGTAGACGGACGGTCAACTGAAATTTCATTTTGCATTCTTACTATATGGGAAGCCGGTGATAGGCGGTCTACCTTACCGAATCTTCGATGAGGGCCTCAGTTCAGTTCACCTGAACTGAATTAGCTTTATTACGGCCCTCTATGTCAAGAGAATTCTTTTCACTACCTCTTGTGTACAACCCGTTTAAAGAATACTTTGGCGGATAGCCATATAGTCGTTTTTATTTAATCAAGAGAGAAAGAGAAAACAAAAAACAACTTTTAATAAACTATGAACTATGAACTCGATCCCAAAATAAGCGACGGCTAAATTGGTTTGCCCACGTGTTTGGCTTTAACGTTTGTTTTGAAAAAACGCCAGCCGCAGAACGCTGCCTTATTGTTGAATGCAACTGGAGGATAAGAGCACGCAGACATAGCCGAACGAGAGGTAACGACACTCAGGGTGCGCTCTCCTGCTGCAATAGTTGTGTTGCAATACGCAAGCGCTCAGAGAATCGCTGGGAGTAGGCGGGCCATGCAATTTATATGCGAGTGCGCACCGGAAGTATTTTTCACCATAGGTCAAATTTTGAAACTCCGAGAATGTCACTTTTGAGAGCATTTGCTCTGCTAAAATTTGATTTATCTCTCCAAAGTACAAGCGCGAATGCAAGTATAACATGGCGGAAGCAAACTATATAGTGATCCTTAAAGTAAAAATACTATTTTAGAACGATATGATCCACTTTCCGTCCAAATCTTGAGACTTCCAAAAATCTCGTCTTTAGGAGCAGCTGCTCTGCTCAAATTCAATTTTTATCTCCAATGTGCGAGTGGAGTATGAGAGCGCGAGAATGACATTGTAAAAGGAAAGTGTGCAGTGATGCTCAGAGCATAGCACTACCTGGAGGCGATATGATCCATTCTCTGTTTGAACTTTGAGAAAATCTCCGAAAATCTCGCTTTGAGCGGTTGCGGCATAACATATGCTGATAAAATTTATTTGGGAAAATTATAGGATTGAATTAGCATTCATCTGTGAGTTTGCTCCAACCGCTTGCTATCGACCCTATGGGCCGCTAGTGCCTATGCCTATACAAGAAGACACACAACATTATCGCTGTTTACATTGCATCCAACACTAAAGAGCGTAATCTGAAATAGAATAAAATCATTCAAAATCCGAGATGCTAGAAAGCTAATGACGTGACAATATTTGAACGATACGCTAGCCATGTAGCTTGTTAATGAGTAAAATTAGACACGATTGAAGCAAGGTCTCGAGATGTTTTAGCGTTTTTGTTGTGAGTTTGCATATTGCGCAAAATCCTTCAAAAAATGCTTACTCTATCGAACACCTTCAATCCTAGCCTGTCCAGTCCATCATCAGTCATCGCCTCGTCTAGACTAAAGAAATGAGGTTTGGGAAAGTATTAAACAAGAACAGCTTGAGTTTTAACAAACCTCATTTTCACTTCCTCGTAACGCTTGTGCTTTGATTCCAGTCTCTGTTTGGTTTTTTCAGGAGTTTTCACGCAATCGCAGCAAAACTCCTGCAAGATGTCTTCATTCTGTTTTATCCATCAAACCTTTTCACCTTCATCTTCTACAACGTTCTTGAATCTCTATATCTATGTCAAGTTAGGATAAGTTTGAAGCAAACTTACTTTGAATCCAAAATCTGCAACATACTGATTCAGGTATGACAAACTGTCATCGAGACCGCATATCTCGATATCTTCGTCATAAAATTTTGCTGCTGCCTAGATTTCTCAAAACTAGTGGAAGTGTTAGTAAGATCAAAAGATCAGTCAGGACTTACCGCAGATACAAGAAGGAAAAAGACTAGCATTTGACTGTTGACTGCGAGGAACAATAATAAGAATTTTAAACCGGTGCTAGTGCATACTGTTGTTTGACTTACTCTTCAACTTTTGTGTGAAACTATATGGTCAGTGCTATGACTTAGCTGATCATACAAAACCACTCAACTTTCAACTACATACAGTGCATTGGATGGCTTTACACACATGATACAGCTGGACGTCTTACGTACTTTTACAGATGACATCCGGAACAATGTTTGCTTACATTTACGCAGAAGCACACTCTTAACATGGCATACTTTTAATAGACCAGAAACAACATTTTAGGAGAGATACTTATGAGTCTCATATCCTCCAAAAAGGGGAGACGCTAAAAAGATTATTTGTATAAATATGCAGTGATTTTCACAAAAGCAATAGACTGGGACAGATCCGCCGTCGTCTGGCTTTCTGATCGCTAAGCGGTTCCTCTCTACACCTGGGGTTAGCGATCGTACCGTCGAAATTAAGCGTAGGCCTAGTAATTCTGCCCTGTAGGGGAAAGACTTCCTACTCCGTTGGCAAGAAAAAATGATAAAAGGCTGTACATCGCACCCCGCCTACGGCGTCGAGTGGTATCAAGAACGATGTCAGGGTAGTCAGGGCGCCTTTCAGATCGGACAAAAACGACACGTCTGCCCGGACGACACGCCATGGAAACTGCCTCAACTCTGCACCTACAACGCCAAGACAGTCTCCGCAAACGCCGACCTCCACGCTCTCCTCGACGCTGGAGGCATATCACCTACCACATCATCATTCGTGGTGAGAAAGTTTTATCACGAAACGTTAAAGCCGTTGGCTTTGTCGTCCACCCTTCTAACGTCCATTTTGTCGATTCGCATGAGATTCTATCACCTCGACTAGCCATCCTACAATTACGATCTCCACGGCAGAAGACCATTAGCATCATCAACTGTTAGGTTGTAAAAAATTGATGCAGGTTTTCCAAGAGTTTGGATTACTATAACTTTTTGCAGAAATAGTCAATCCGTTCCCAATAAATTGCTGCAATTAGCAAACCTTTGGCAGTTCAACAACTGAGAATAGCCTAATAGTCGGAAGACTGGCAAAAGTTTTCTCGAAAGACCTTCAGTTTGAGAGATCGTGGCTCACTATACAATGTAGTAGAAAGATACAAACTTCATTCACTGTGCAGATAATATTCGGGTGTGCGGCAAGCTTGAAGTTGATTTTCACCAAAAAAAAATTTTGCTAGAAAATATTGCAAAACATTTGTAATCACTCATTCTTCACAAGTGCTCTCAAAAGACGAAAAGATGCCTTTTTTGCTTTCTTGAATTTTCGCCGCCGAAGAGAACAACAGCTCCTGGTTTTTTGCTATCATGTGTCCTATGTCTATTCTTTTGGCGCGCGGTGAAAGCTGCGCAACTAATGCGCATTCAGGACTTTTTTATGCCGCAGAATGATAGTAGCGGTTGTTTGGATTTGAAACAAAATTTCTCAGTCTGGAAAGTTTTGAGAAATTTGCTTTCATGTGCTTTTGTAGCACAGATCACATGCAAACATCACGCCAGCTTGCGAAAAAAGTCGTTTTTTCGCGGTGGATCTAGAGCAGAGAGTGTAAGAAAAAATTTCAAGGTTTAGTGTCTTGACTTCAAAGGCACGTAATTTCGAAATAAACTCAGTTCTCCTGAAACGAAAGCATGCATAAGAAACTAGAAGAGGACTGCTTTCAGAAAGTATGCACAATTTCTAAGACAATACAATTTTATTTTGAACCAGCACTTGGAAAAAGAGATGTGAAAAACGTGCATTAATTCTGTTACAACCTAATACTTGCCACAATTACTCGCCAACATCAGCAGTCAACGAGTCAAAACTAGATGCTTTCTACGAAGACGCAGAGGAGGCCGCCAGCAAGGAGGATTGCGAAGATCGGGATGCCACTGGAAAAGGAATCTAGTTTGTTCGAGTTTGGAGGTTCTTCTTTCAAAGTTTGGATATGGGCTCCGAAACGAAAACGGCAACCGTCTCGTTGTGCTTCTTTGCGTCGCACGACTTCTCCGTGGAAATTCTATCATAATGAGAAAGAATATAGGCGGTGCACATGAAAAGCCTAACGGACCGACTCGCGCGGAGATCGACCACATTCTCGCCAACCGAAGGTGAAGTTCGACGTTTTAGTACTTCCATCCTTCTGCAGTGGCTCCGATCGTCGCTTACTTCGAGCGAAGATACATTCAGTTGAAAACTGGAAAAGAAGGTCTGTCACAGTGACGCAAGAAGGATTGAAGTGTTTATGACGGCAACATGCTGGAAAAACTCATATAAAATTGTTACTGCCCCATCGAGGAGGATCCAGCCTACGACTACCACGAGCTTCTGAAATGATTGAGACTGCGAAGATGCACCTCAGTAAGTCGAGAAGAAATTGAAACGCGTTTCGAAGACCACCAAGGAATTACTCGAAGAAGATTCTTGAGGCAAAATCCGAGTGCACTCATTCAAGCGATTGATAATCAACGTTAGTTGCAGAACAGTTTTGCAGGGAAGATCTAAGGAAGTTTAGGCAAGCTAAAATACTAGAAGCAACCGAAAGAAGACGAGGTGCCGAAGGGACCTCTACCAATATCACGTGCCGCTGGCTGCACTATTGAATAAAGACGGGGTTATGCCTCTAAGTGTGTTGTGAAAGCTTTTTACGAAGATCAAGACTACTATAAGAACTGTACAACAAGGTATAGCTTTTTTATCGCCCCCTGACCACTCCGATTAGAAAGGGGTTTCGACAATGCAACACAATATCGCCGAGCCGTTTTCCTCGGCCTTGCGTTAAGTGATGAAGTCACTGGACTGGGACGAGAGAGGCATACAATTTGATGGGAGATTCCTTTCGAACCTTCCTTTTGCGAACGACATCGTCCTCTTTTCGAGCAGTATCACTAAAGCGAGACGATGCCGAAGGAACTAAACAAAGGAAAAATGCCTTTGCAAGATGCAGAAATGGTTGGAAGGCACCCTTATCATGGAGACGTTTACGTGTATCTCAAACGTTCAATGAACGTGGCAAACGACTTCAGAGAAGAATTAACAGGAGAAAAGAGAAGAGCAGCCTGGGCCGCTTTCGGGCCTCTGAAGGAAGCCACCTACCAATTGACGGACCCGGAGTTTCGGGTACGCCTTTTGACTGAACCGTTCTCCCGGCGCTCTTTTACGCAGCTGAGACTTGAGCAGACACTGTAGCCATCGATAGCTCTACGAGCCACCCACAGAGCGCTTGAACGCAGTCTTCTGAAGATGAGCCGACAAAAAACATCTTTTCGGACTTCGCAGTACGGATATGAGAAAAGAGTTTTCATGATTCAGTGTCACACGTCGCGAAAGCAAAGCATAGATGGGCTGGTCACATTAGGGAAGAAGAGGCGACAGATGGACACTAAGAACATCAGAGTGGATGCCGCGAAGCAAAACGGCCCCGAGGAAGACGAAAAATGAGATGCGCAGACCTGTTCGCAGAACGGGTGGACTAGCAGAAAAATCGGCCAAATACGATTTTTGCCTCTGGAACTCGTAAACGCAGCTATCGACGAGACATTCAAGTATATCCTGGATGTCTAAAGCGAGGGACAGGGATCACTGACAACCTATGTGCCCTGGCCCGCACGTCACGTGAAGACGGGCCATTTAAGTTTTAAGTGAGTACTTACTTAGATACTCAGGTGGCCCGTCCTCACGTGACGTGCGGGCCCCAGTACAGAAGTCGCCAGTTTTCCCTGTCCCTCGCTTCAGACATCCACGATCTTCTTGGCCGTCGTCGGTGGCTGCGTCCACGAGTTCCAAGGGCGAAAGTCGTATCCAGCTGATTTCTCAGCTGGTCCATCGTTCCACGAACACGTCTGCCCATCTCGTCGGTGGTCTTCCTCGAGGACGTTTGGCTTCGCGAGGAATTCACTTCGATGTTCTTAGTGTCCATCTGTCGTCTGTTCTTTTCATTATGTGACCGGCCCATCGGTGTTTGGCCTTCGCGACGTATTCCGCTGGGTCACAAAGACGGGACATTCTTCTCATATCCGTGCTGCGAAGTCCGACTAGATGTTGCTTGCGTCGGGTCATCTTCAGAAGACTGCGCTCGAGCGCTCTGTGGGTGGTCCGTAAAGCTTTCGACGTGGCTACAGTGTCGGCCCAAGTCTCAGCTGCGTAACAGAGCGCCGGGAGAACGGTTGAGTCGAACAGGTGGGCACGAAGCTCCGGGTCCGTCAGTTGGTCGGTGGCTTCCTTCAGAGGCCCGAAAGCGGCCCAGGCTGCTCTTCTTCTTCTGTTAAGTTCTTCCCTCAAGTCGTTCTCCATGTTCATCGAACGTCCGAGATACACGTAGGAAGACGTCTCCATAATCGGAGTGCCTTCCAATTCCATTTCTGCATCTTCGCAAAGGGCGTTTTTCATGAACTGAGTCTTCTTCCGATTTATTCGCAGTCCGATCTTCTTCCCTACTTCGTTTAGTTCCTTCAGCATCGTCTCTGCTTCGGTGATACTGCTCGAGAAGAGAACGATGTCGTCCGCAAAACGAAGGTTGGACAGGAATCTCCCATCAACTCGTATGCCTCTCTCGTCCCAGTCCAGTGACTTCATCACCCACTGCAAGGCCGCGGTGAACAGCTTCGGCGAGATTGTCGGACCGCCTTGTCGGACCCCCTTCCCGATTGGTATGGTCAGGGGGAGATGGAATAGCTGTTTCGTCGTTGTACAGTCCTTGTAGCAGTCGGCTAACGTCCTCACGTAAGCTGGGTCCAGTCCTCGCAGACAGGATGGCGTTGCTTTCGACGCTGTCAAAGGCTTTCTCGTAGTCGACAAAGGTTAGGACGAGAGGCAGTCGGTACTCCCGGCAGACTTCTATGACCCTCGAAACGGTCTGGATGTGGTCCATACAGCTGAATC